GTTTCAACTTCCCATTCTGGAGCCCATGGAAACACAAGCTGCCACAGCACTTGGTGGGAGGTAGAGGTGCGCAGAGCAAGTTATTAGGTCTGTGGATTAACTTAAAACTGCAGCTTTTCAAATGTCAACAGATTGCCAACTATCTTCAGCACTGGTTATGCTTGTTAGGAGTTGTAATCTGATAACATTTGGAGAGACACTTGCTCCATCACTAAATTAAATAAATTGAACAATGAAATAATACAGTGGTGCCTCGCACAGCGAGGTTAATCCGTTCTGGATTAACCCTCGCTGTGTGAAACATCGCTGTACGGAAAGAAAAAAGCCATTGGAATGCATTAAACTTAGTTTAATATTTCTAAAACCAGTCCCCTTTTTTGCTTCAGAACTCATATTTTGCTAAGGCTTTGATTAAATCATAATTGATTGGCCGACAGTTAAAAAAACACACATTTTTCATAAAAGTACTTGTAATACTGCAATCACCACCTAATGAAAGGAGACTGTGCTTTTTGTTCATACAGAAGTCAATGTTTGAGCTAAGCTGATGTGTGCAAAAAGATATTACTTATATTATCACAAATATTTTGTGCCTGTATACAAATTTGATCAATAGCTTAACAAAAATTTGTCCTGATAATGACCTAACATTTCTTTAATGTGTTTGCAACCCTAGTATTTTTTCAGCTCACCAGTTAAGAAAACCTGTAGGTCATTTTCTTAGACATAAGACAAACGGAAGATGATAAAGATGCCAAGGAAATTGCTTTGAAGCTTGAATATTTTTAATTTTGAAAAAATTAGGCACCAGAAATAGGCAAGATTACAAGACACCACTTGCTCAAACTGCACAGAATTACTACTGATTTAACCTGGCATTCACCAAACTACTTGGACAAGATTCAAACTCTTAGCCACGCTGGCTGATGGGAATCAAGATCTAAAACACCTGCTAGGGGAATAAGTACCAGGCTGGGAAAGGTCTTCTAAGCACACGTATAGAAGAGAATCCACCGGCCATTTACCTTTGCCCACCAGCTGGACAGCACAAAATACGTGTTCACGTTCTCCTCTCCAAACTGCTCGGCGACATAGAGACCCAAGGAACCATACTTATCATAGATATTTCGCTTTGTAGCATCAGTCAATATTGCATGTGCATTGTTGATCTCTTTAAATTTCTCTGCGGCTTCTGGATTATCTGGGTTCTTATCAGGGTGATATTTTAATGCAAGTTTCCTAGGGAAGGAAGAAATCACATGAAGAGGGAAGATCCAATCGAAAAATAACAAGATCTAACTACTTTTCTGGTCCAGATTCTCTGGCTGTGTCTCCTGATAATATTCTGCAATGTATAATGTCTGGGCAAGCATCTAAATTTCTCTGCGGCTTCTGGATTATCTGGGTTCTTATCAGGGTGATATTTTAATGCAAGTTTCCTAGGGAAGGAAGAAATCACATGAAGAGGGAAGATCCAATCGAAAAATAACAAGATCTAGCTACTTTTCTGGTCCAGATTCTCTGGCTGTGTCTCCTGATAATATTCTGCAATGTATAATGTCTGGGCAAACATCTGTCTCAGGAGTCACACTGAGAAGTCCTTTTCAGATAAACCAGGCAACTTAATTTAACAGCTACCACCTTCAACAAGAAGCGCAGTAGAGGAACCTTTCCACACAGGTCACTAGTGAAAACTCGGCTCCTTTGGTCAGACATGAACATCCAGAAAATACTACAAGTCTGAACTTCAATTCCCATCAACTCTAGCCAGAACAGTCAATGTTCAGGAAAACCAGAAGCCATAGCCTAGAGTGGTCGCAAGACCAGATAGGCGGGGTACAAATGAATTAAAATAAAATAAATAGTCTACCAACACTGGGAAGGCATCAGATTAGGAAAGACCTATATCCTCTAATCAATTAGTCAAATTTATTTTCCAGAAACCAATGTTTAAAATAAATCAAACATAATCATGCTGAGAAATATATTTTGGTGTAAGTGATCCCCAGGACATTGAACCTCTTAACTAAACTACTGGGTTACTAGTACAGACAAACAAAACCAGAAGATACTGCATTGCATCAGTCCCTTAAATTATGACATTTCTTACTGTTTGCTTCTGCCTGGAGAAGTTAGCAGAATATAGGAAATGTTCATTATTTGGGACTGGATCAGGAATCCAAGAAGAGCGAGCTTCTGCCTAAATCATTACAAGGAAAGGGTTGCCACTGACCTCTAGTGTACAACTCTATTCATTATAGCTTTACAGTGTAGACACCCCCGAACTCATTCTTTCTCCTCTGCTAACACTACTGTTACTGCAAATGTGTGTCTCTCAGGGACTTCTTTAATTCAATCTTCACCATTCATAAAATTATAAAAATAGGATCAAAAGCTGTTTAAAATGTGATGAAAACAGACTGGACTTGTTGCTACCAATAATTGTTTCTGTCATTTGCCAAGCTAAGACACAAAGCTTCCCCATTGTCTAGTAAAATGGCTTAAATAAGACTTCATAAAATGATGTTATGTGAAGGACTAGAAATACTTTTGATTAAAAAACAACTGCCCTCTATACATCAGAAGAGGTTTTGCTACTCAGCAGTGTGATGTGTAATACCTGAACAGTGAAACTCAGCCTAAATATATCTAACAGGTTCTACATCTCACAGTTATCTCAAGGTACACATAACAGTTTCTAGCAGACACTGCCTCTTAGGTAAATATTAGGGACATAAATATTCCATGTTATCTTTTTCTGTCACACTTTCCATTGCTCTAAGAAGAAATGACACACCTTTGGTATTTTGATCAACAAGGCTAAGAGGATTAGTGAAACAGACATCACAAAATTTCCCTTAAAGGAATATGTGTGCTCAGTGCATCCACTAGGATTTTAGAAATTATTTATTTATTTATATTTTTATTTATTTATTCATTCATTCATTCGATTTATATCCTGCCCATCTGGTATATTTTACCACTCTTATAGATAGTATCTTTATAAAAACATATCTACATCTTCAAATATCAAACACCAAGAATGAGACATGGAATGGAAAAATAGAAAATATTCCAAACAACACAAAACAGTTCAGCAATAACAAGAAAAAAAAAATCTTGATGTTTTCTTTGGAACTTTCTGAACTGCCCAAAGGAAAAGAGAAGTCAATAGGAGGTATTCAATTTTTTTTCCTGAGGAACAGCCAGTTTCCTTTAAATACTTTAAAGGAAATACAAAAAATATTGGCTTGGAAAATGTGTCTGATTATTTCCACTAAGCAATGAACTGTCTAATGTTGAACCCTGAAACCGACTTGAAATTAAGGGTAATAATTAGGGATGGGACTTTGGGTGGGTGGATGGAACAAATTCTCTGCCCCATAATCCACCAGAAAGCCCCCAGGCTGAATTATGAGCCTGAGAGTGTCAACCAGCAGGAGGCATGGCAGCCCTCTTACCTCCATGCGGCTCCTGTCCCCTCTGAAAAAGGCCCAGCTGCACCTCTGCAGGTTGTGAGGATTCCCTCTGACTCTTAAGGGTCTACGGGGTGGGGTGGGGGGAAGACCTCTGACTGAAGTTGCCTCTGTAAAGAGTGTATGGAGGCAACCCGTACCATAACTTGTTCCTTACTCATTGGTCTTACCTGTATGACTTCTTAATATCATCTGAAGTGGCATTCTTGTCCAGTCCTAGAACATGGTACAGTGATTCCCCAGACGTAGACAATGAACGTTGCCTCTGGTCTCCCATCATGAACTAACCTAGAAAGTGGGGAAGGAAAAAAAAAAGCATTGGGTTATGGAATAAGCTCAGCTGGCTGTAAAGGAAACACTGGACTACAGACAGAGTGGTCAATCTGTACCAGGAACACCAAGGGGCCTCTCTCCCCACAGCCCCATGGACAGCTAGCTGTAGTTCATTTTGAATTTTTATTGTCCACACACTTTTCTGTTTTTGAAGTGCAATGTCTCCAAAGAGATCTACACGTTGTTTCCGCAATTTCCATACTACTTGATGAAATTAAAACAGATATAGTGGGTTTACTTGTAGCTATGAATAGTCTATCTAAGTCCTCCCCTGTCAAAAAAGGTATTGCCTAACTTCACTAGATAAATATATCCTACCTGATCAGTTTTATCCCTCTTTTCTATACCACCTCTGTCTCCATCATTATTCCTATTATTATTTTCACTATAAACTGAGATCACCAGAAAGGCTCACAAGACTCTCAAGATGGACGTACCAGAACCTGATATAATATGGCACAATTATGGCCTGGAAATTGTCACTTTTTTTAATTTAAGAAGTGACAATATATTTCAACTAGGATTTTGCTTAGCCTGCTAGACAACGCATTTATAGCATTCCATATAATAGTCTTGTGGTACCACTCACTCCCTACAAAACCACAGATGCTCAGCAATACCAATTTGTTCAATTCCAGGGCACATAATCCACTGGAGCCAGACGGTAACTCTGAACCCAGGAAGATGCTACAAAGGCAGCTACTTAGCATTTGAAACAAACATCTTCACTTCAGAGGGAGATAAACCCCTGCTGGGGCACAACGAGAAACACGTGAAAGCTTCCTAACAACAAGCAGAATATATTTTGAACACCATTTCTGGAAGTATCTATTATTTAACCACCAAAACAGATGCAACATTTTAAGGCACACAGCATCTACATAGCTAAAGGGTAATAAAATGTTCCAACATAATTCATAACATCAGCTAAAGAAGGCAGGTCAGATGGCTGAAGTTGACAGAAACTGAAAGCAGACACAAAGTCTGTCTGGTGCTTTAATGTAGTGTGAGGAGGAACCACTTCCTAGCAAAAAATAGGAGTGTGAGCCATACCCTCCAGTGCCCACAACAGAGGGATACAGACAGCATAGCCAACTGAGAGTATAAGAGCAGTGCCCACAACAGAGGGATACGAGACAGCGTGGCCCAACTGAGACTATAAGAGAAAAAAAGAGCAGGAAAAAAGAGCAAGAGGAGGGCAAGAAAAGGGAGGCACCAATAGAAAGAAGACATTCCTCTAGGATGGGGTTGGTTAGAATGCAAGACCCCTTGGACAGGAGAATGTGTTAAAATGAAACTACCCCAGAGGAAAGAGAGGAGACAGCAATACAGTCAACCCTCGACTTCCAAACATCCCTAGATACAAACTTTTTGATTTACGAACAGCTCCGTTGGCAAAAATTGGCATCGACTTGCGAACGGAGCTTGACCTATGAACGAGGTCGAGGCTCCGTTCGCAAATGGCTCCCTGCAAAAAGGCAGAGAGAAAGGACTGGAAATTCGAATTTCACACACTTTCCCCCTGCCTTTTTGGCTTCTGCGCTCTCAAAGGGCTTTCTCCGATGTCAGGGGGAAATTTCCAGCCCTTTCCCCCTGCTTTTTTGCCTTTTGAAATGCTGGAACCGATTAATTCCATTCCCATGCATTGCAAGGGGAAATGGTACTTCGACGTACGAACTTTTTGACGTACAAATTAAGTTCATAAGTCGAGACACCACTGTATTGCAATGTGAGACCTGAGGAGAGTAAGACAGGAAAAGAGGGAGAAGAGCTGAAAAGGTAAAGAAAGAAAGGACTGGCCGGGCAGCTGGGGGGAAACAGAACCAGTAGAATGATGAAAAGGTAAAGAAAGAAAGGACTGGCCGTGCAGCTGGGGGGGAAACAGAACCAGTAGAATGAATGGTGTATGTCTATCCCAAGAAGGAAGATTGGTGGAAGAAGGGGGTCAGACTCCCATGGTGATGTCACATCCAGAAATGCCCATGGAGAGAGAGTGGGCTTGGTACCCCTGTTGCAGCACCCAATGCCCCAGTCAGAGGAAGCCTACGGGAAAACCCACAGATTGTGAATGGTTTGAAGTGAACCCCCCGATGGGGAACTCTCTTGCAATGCCCGAGTTAATGGACTGTTATGTTGAATGCACGGAAAAAACCCAATGCCCCAGTCAGAGGAAGCCTACAGGAAAACCCACAGATTGTGAATGGTTTGAAGTGAACCCCCCGATGGGGAACTCTCTTGCAATGCCCGAGTTAATGGACTGTTATGTTGAATGCACGGAAAAAGAGGGATCTGTTGGTCCAACTGAAGTTGTTGTTCATGGTTCTCTGGTGTTCGCAAATAAAAGAAGTGTTTATGAAGGCGGCCTGTCTCCACTCTTTGGGGAACAAAAAGGAGAATGGAGTTTCCCCAAAGTTGAACCAACTCACATGTAGTCTGAATAGCAAATTCAGCTTTTGAGGAAGTAATTGGACTTTTTTCTTCTTGCTGTTCCAGGTGGCTGAGAATCTATTCATGCATCTAGCAAGATTTGGGACTATCAGCTACACACTGAGATAGCAACTGATGAGAGAATTCCTCTTGCCCTCTGAAGGTCACTAGATGTAAAACTTTTCCTACAAACAACCCACCAGTCTTCTATCTATCACAAAACACTTAAAAGGCTTAAAGTCTTACATAGTTTAGTGGGTTTTTTTTTGCAGAAAAGTGGTCAGAAGAGTAGAATAAGCCTGTATTGCATCTTATATTTTTCCTTAAATTTCCTTTTTGTTTGTTTTTTTCTTTGGAAAGACAAGCAATGCCCACCATGTGCTCAAATACCTTGCCTAGAAAGAGGATGTGTGTGATAGAGAGACAGCTGCTATAGCCCTCGGAATTCAGTGATCTCCTCTTGAGGAGAGGCTGCACCACGGCTTCTTTCAAGGCAGCAGGGGTACCACATCCTGACCTAACGAGGTATTGACCTCCACCATGAATCAACCCAGGCAAACCAACTCTTTCAGATTTTATCAGCCAAGATGGGCAAGGATTCAGCTTACATGGAGTAGGCCAGACAGCTTCTTGGCCATGTCATCAGTTATACCTACTGTGAGCGGCATCCGCCAGATCGATCTTGTGAGTGAGGCAAAACGTTTTGAATGCCTCCCCTTTAAACAAAGAAGTTGGTGGGTTTCAGTTTGTTCTTCCTTTTGGAGACCATGTTCTTCGCCTTTTCAGTGCTTGTGAATGTGGCAGAACCTTGGATAGCTCCTGCCAGAAAACAGGGACCTGGGAAGCATCAATGATCTGACTTCAAAGAAGGCAGCTTTCTATATTCTCTACTTTTGCTCCTCAACCCACACACAGAGGGCAAGAGGAGACTGCTAGAGTCATGACTAGTATGATTATCACAGAGCTTCAAAATCCCTTCAGCCACAGGGAAATTATATCAGTGGTAGTCCAATTCTCTCTCTTCCGAGTTTGGGATTACAAACATAACAGGCCAATGTAGCATCCTCCCAGGAACAATCATTTCTGCGAATTAAGCTCAATTTTACAGAAAAAGATTGTTATTTTTGTTGTTGCTAGAATTAGTGTATAATTCAGATTTCAGAGATATTTATAGCAAAATGGTAAATATATCTCTCTTCCTCCCTCCCCTCCATTTGAAATAATGAAGTCCAGCCCTTCCCAATTATATCCACAACTAACGATACTGCAGGGCCTCAAACAAAGCCAGATCATCATCTGCTGCTCTTCAGCAACATGTATCCTGGGAGAAGCCAGTCAGCCAGCCAGCTATTTTTGGATCAGGTCATTTCAACTAGCCCACACTAGATTAAATAGGCGTTTGCAAAAGGTATTTTTAAAGTGCTTGGCTTTCAGCCAGCTTGACTCTTTATCTTCAACTGTGTAGGCCTATGTACTTTGAAGAAAATGCATTTTTAAAAAAATGATTATCAGAACCAACTCATCAGAAAGAACCAGGTGCATTTCATACCAGAACCAAAGAAACAGATCATGTTCACATCCTAAAGGCATGGACTGACTTTCCCAGAAATAAAACTTTAAAGGGGGGAAAAAAGCACTTGAGGCACCAGGAAATGGCAAGCTGCTGTCACGCAAAACCTTTTTTCAGCTTAGCTCAAATGTGGAATTTGCTAAACAGCACTTTCTTCCATGGTCAACACTAACTTTCATTTATAATTTGATGATACTGTGATTGTTATGCCGGAGAACTTTGACAGAGCAGTGTTTTATTACTTAAATTAAACCTTTCACCCTGGGATCCAAGGGGGATTTGAAAACAGATGCTAAACTGAACCAGTGCAAAATTCTCAGCGTAGTTCTCTTACATGAATAATTTAAATCCTTAATATCATTAATATTGACATTAAAGTCTGCACATTCATCTGGAATTCAGAAATCAACTTCTTCAAATATATAACTTGAAAAAGCAAGTTTCTAGCTCTCAAGGCATCAGTAGATTCACTATGAGGACACACCTGGGAAATGTTATGTCAATCATTCTCTGTGTTGTAGAGAACATGGCCATGGTGTGAAAAGCTGTGTTAAATGAGAGAGGACGGAACAAAAATGTATTCCTAGATTTAAAGTACTGAAAGAAGACATCATGTCAAGAAAGGGTAAAGAGGGAATGGTGTAATAGAGGCCTTGTACTGTGTTTCCGGGGACACGGTGGTGCTGCGGGTTAAACCGCAGAAGCCTCTGTGCTGCAAGGTCAGAAGACCAGACATCGTAAGATCGAAATCCACGTGACAGAGTGAGCTCCTGTCACTTGTCCCAGCTCCCGCCAACGTAGTCGTTCGAAAGCATGAAAAAATGCAAGTTGATAAATAGGTGCCACCTCGTTGGGAAGGTCATTGCGTTCCGTGTCTAGTCGCGCTGGCCACATGACCACGGAAACTGTCTTTGGACACCACGCTGGCTCTATGGCTTGGAAACGGGGATGATCCCCG